TTATTGCACGTATGTTCTTTTAAATTTTTGTTTTTTTTTTCTTTAGCCGTTTTTCCTATAAAGAAAAACAAGAGATCTTTTTTCGTTGTGAGAAGGAATGCGTCAGACCGACGGTTTGAATGTTTACAGAGAATGCTGGCCGTCGTTATCCGTGTGCCCGTTTCTCCCCATTTCTCGCTCTTCCCATAGACCGGGTTCTTTTGAATGCACATTTGTCTGGTTTTATTGGGTCTGTGGTCCGATACAGCGTTTTTCTTACTTGGTGTTGTCTTTATATTTTTTTATTCTTTGTATTTGGTGTACGGTGAATTTACAGTTTACTTGCTCAAATACGACTAAATTCTTTTTTAAATTGAAATACAAATTGCAGTACGTAAGAGTTAACAATTGGTTGATTGTTACTTCTGCTTTCTTGCGGCGTGGTAGGCCATCAGTTATTATATTCCACAGTTACTGTAAAGAACGAAACCTGTGGAGTTGAGAAGAGAAGTGACTGGCGAGGGAAAAATGCTTTTCACGATGCGTTAATGCCACTTTATTTTGTGAATTCCGCATCGCGGTCTCTTTCTTTGAGTGGCTGATTGATCCTCTACTATTTAGTCAGTAAGTGGCCTGCGGTGATGAGACAGTTAGGTGAACTATAAAAGTGTTTTAAACAATAGGCGTTAGGAAAAACTGAAGAGAAGTGGAGGAAGATAGTGAGTAGGTTTCGGAAACAGTTTTTTTTTTGGTAGCTTTTGGTAGGAACTTTGAATACTTCTTCAGCTTTCTTTTATTATATATTTCCGGTTTGTCGTTTTTTTGATTAAGCGGTATTGCTTTTTTTATCTTCTCTTAGTGTAATTCCGTTTTTTATCGTCTCTCAGTGTGCTTTTGTTTTTTTACGTGCGCTTAATTTCTCAAGAATCAGATTGTTGTTCACGTTTTCAAAGGGTAATGTTGAAAAACGGGGAATCATTTGCTTTACTCGCGGTCCTGCATGCTTTCTTTCCTAGAGGCTACATGACTTATTACGAATCTGTAGTTTGACGTTGAAATATTCTTTCTTGAAAACTCAAATCTTAACTTTTTAGAAGGAAGTCGAACCCTTGTTTATCATATGCCGCAAGTGTCATGGAACCGAACAACATGGTTGTTACAGGTATATTTTCACTGTGTGGTAATCTGTATGCGGAATCTTTTTCTAGTCAATTTTTTTTGTCTCGAACTTCTTTTTTGATAGCTCTGTGAATTTGTTCTTACTATTTCATTTTTACTTTCATTACTTGCCCGTTTCTTGGTAAAGCTTCCATTTTCTCTCTAAAAGATACTCTATAAAGCTAAATTAAAGTAAGCAACTCAGTTTTCAAATTTTTTGCAAATTTGGTCTTATTTGTTGTTTTCAGTAGCCATCAGAATATTTCTTTTTTTTTGAACTGCTACTGTGTATGATAAGAAGGAATCTGCTTTTTTTCTTCAATACAGTAAGTAAGAGGATTTTTTGTAGACAAGTGTTTATTATGAGGACAAAGTATAAGAGCTGTTTTGCTACTAACGCGATTATACTGATGAAACGAGAAGTAGATTAAGTAGAATTTTCGTAGAGGAGTGATGGGTGGGAGGGATAACAAAAGGTATTTTTAAGGGGCAAAGGTGTTTTTAAAAAGCTGATTTTTTGCAATGGGTAGTCGGTTATTTTTGTTCACTCTGTCTTTGGTTGCAAATAGATTTTACAAAAGGATTGT